AGCTTTCTTAGATAATTTTATGAGATTGAAAAAAAATAGTTAATTTTGAAAAAATCATAACTTTTTTATTTATGATCATGAAGAAGCGATTTATGTCTCAAATTGAAGCTGAAGATGTCTTCTTTCGAAATCTGTATGTTGTTTAAAAGTTTTATATAAAAAAATATTGAGATAAAAGCTTTTTAGATAATTTTCAAAAAATCATAACTTTTTTATTTATGATAATGAAGAAGCGATTTATGCCTCAAATTGAAGCTGAAGATGTCGTCTTTCCTAATCTGTATGTTGTTTAAAAACTTTATATAAAAAAATTTTGAGAAAAAAGCTTTCTTAGATAATTTGATTTGAATAGTTAATTTTCAAAAAATCATAATTTTTTTATTTATGATAATGAAGAAGCGATTTATGCCTCAAATTGAAGCTGAAGATGTCTTCTTTCGAAGTCCGTATGTTGTTTAAAAACTTTATATAAAAAAATTTTGAGAAAAATGCCTCTAAAGATACCTCTAAAAATTGACAGTTAATTGGGCGTGGCAAATAGTGTGACGTAGTAATAGGGCAACCAATAAGAAGATATATTAAAATTTTTAAGCTTACCTTTCCACTCGATCGGGCGATTTTATTCACAATATCGGCGAACACGACGTATTGGTCGTTGGTTTCCAAGCACAGCTTTTTCCACTGGATGTTTTGCCTCAATCGCACGTAATCTCCGAGGAATGGGTGCGAAACGCTCCGACTATAGGACGATTTTCGATCTTTAAAAATCAAACTGGCCGTTACTTTCTCTCTCATCCGATTCCGCGACGTTTGGTCGAACTTTAACCGGTACTTATGACACCTCCACTTATGGTAGAGCCGCCTCAATAGGACGTTACATTCTTGAAATTTCGATTTATTCGTAGTGGGCCAATTCGTGCAGGTCGGACTTTCGAGGTCTTTGTTTTTTAGGAAATTCGCCAAAGTTAAAAGGAACTGTTTTCTCTGTTACCAAAAAAGTATAATTATATTAACTAAATCAATGAATTAAGTTAAATTTGTTACTAACTTTCCATTGGATGTAATGTCTTTGAATGACCGTCGCGGCCCATTCGATTTCTCTGCGGTGTTTTAACGTGCGAAATTCTTCGCGAGCCTTTAACAATTAATTAATTGATTAATCAAAAAATTAAGTGAGAAATTAAGTTAAGTCGGAGTTAGCTTCGAATTAATTGAGTACGAACATCTAGCTTACAAAGCGTTAGATTGGATTTAATTATTAAATTAAGAATAATTTTGGTGTATTTTAGACGTACCACCCTGTATAAACACCAAAGATGTCGTCTCCCGTCAAAAGGAATGCCAAATCGTAACTCCTAAAAAATTATTTTGAGCAACGATTTTTTTATTTTCGGAAGAACACGAAATAAAATCGCCTTAACTTTCGAGCGGGGGTGTCATAAAAAAACTTTTATAACAAATTTTGTTATAAATGAGATAAAAACAAAAATTTTAAATTTCATGAATTTCCTTGTTTTACTAATTAATGGTAATATTTAGGAATCGGAGAATGTTATTAAAAAACTTTTATAACAAAAGTTGTAGCAAATTTTGCTCTTAACAATATTGCTTTCTTGTATTTTTACTCTCAGGTGCGTCAATATCGAGAAAAATACGAAAATCTAAAAATTCTATGAATTTTCTTGTTTTACTATTAGCTAATGGTAACATTTGGGAATCGGATCATGTTATTAAAAAACTTTTATAACAAAAGTTGTAGCAAATTTTGCTCTTAACAATATTGCTTTCTTGTATTTTTGCTCTCAGGTGCGTCAATATCGAGAAAAATACGAAAATCTAAAAATTTTATGAATTTTCTTGTTTTACTATTAGCTAATGGTAACATTTGGGAATCGGATCATGTTATTAAAAAACTTTTATAACAAAAGTTGTAGCAAATTTTGCTCTTAACAATATTGCTTTCTTGTATTTTTGCTCTCAGATGCGTCAATATTGAGATAAATACGAAAATTTAAAAATTAGATGAATTTTCTTGTTTTACTAATTAATGGTAACATTTTGGAATCGGAGAATGTTATCAAAAAACTTTTATAACAAAAGTTGTAGTAAATTTTGTTCTTAATAACATTGCTCACTTGTATTTTTGCTCTCAGATCCATCAATATCGAGAAAAATACGAAAATATGAAAATTTTATGAATTTTTTGTTTTACTATTAGTTAATGGTAACATTTGGGAATTGAAGCATGTTATCAAAACACATTTAGAACAAAAGTTGTAGCAAATTTTGTTCTTAACAATATTGCTCTCCTGTATTTTTGCTCTCAGGTGCGTCAATATCGAGAATAATACGAAAATCTAAAAATTTTATGAATTTTCTTGTTTTACTATTAGTTAATGGTAACATTTGGGAATCGGAACTTGTTATTAAAAAACTTTTATAACAGAAGTTGTAGCAAATTTTGTTATTAACAATATTGCGCTGTTGTATTTTTGCTCTCAGATGCGTCAATATCGAGAAAAATACGAAAATCTAAAAATTTTATGAATTTTCTTGTTGTCAATATTGAGATAAATACGAAAATTTAAAAATTTTATGAATTTTCTTGTTTTACTTTAGCTAATGGTAATATTTAGGTATCGGAGAATGTTATAAAAAAACTTTTATAACAAAAGTTGTAGCAAATTTTGTTCTTAACAATATTGCTCTCTTGTATTTTTGCTCTCAGGTGCGTCAATATCGAGAAAAATACGAAAATCTAAAAATTTTATGAATTTTCTTGTTTTACTATTAGGTAATGGTAACATTTGGGAATCGGAACTTGTTATTAAAAAACTTTTATAACAGAAGTTGTAGCAAATTTTGTTATTAACAATATTGCTCTCTTGTATTTTTGCTTTCAGATGCGTCAATATTGAGATAAATACGAAAATTTAAAAATTTCATGAATTTTCTTGTTTTACTTTAGCTAATGGTAATATTTAGGTATCGGAGAATGTTATCAAAAAACTTTTATAACAAAAGTTGTAGCAAATTTTGTTCTTAACAATATTGCTCTCTTGTATTTTTGCTCTCAGATTCGTCATATTGAGAAAAATACTAAAATTTAAAAATTTGATGAATTTTCTTGTTTTACTATTAGCTAATGGTAACATTTGGGAATCGGAGCATGTTATCAAAAAACTTTTAGAACAAAAGTTGTAGCAAATTTTGTTCTTAACAATATTGCTCTCTTGTATATTTGCTCTCAGATGCGTCAATATTGAGAAAAATACGAAAATTTAAAAATTTGATGAATTTTCTTGTTTTACTATTAGCTAATGGTAACATTTGGGAATCGGAGCATGTTATCAAAAAACTTTTAGAACAAAAGTTGTAGCAAATTTTGTTCTTAACAATATTGCTCTCTTGTATATTTGCTCTCAGATGCGTCAATATTGAGAAAAATACGAAAATTTAAAAATTTGATGAATTTTCTTGTTTTACTATTAGCTAATGGTAACATTTGGGAATCGGAGCATGTTATCAAAAAACTTTTAGAACAAAAGTTGTAGCAAATTTTGTTCTTAACAATATTGCTCTCTTGTATATTTGCTCTCAGATGCGTCAATATTGAGAAAAATACGAAAATTTAAAAATTTGATGAATTTTCTTGTTTTACTATTAGCTAATGGTAACATTTGGGAATCGGAGCATGTTATCAAAAAACTTTTAGAACAAAAGTTGTAGCAAATTTTGTTCTTAACAATATTGCTCTCTTGTATATTTGCTCTCAGATGCGTCAATATTGAGAAAAATACGAAAATTTAAAAATTTGATGAATTTTCTTGTTTTACTATTAGCTAATGGTAACATTTGGGAATCGGAGCATGTTATCAAAAAACTTTTATAACAAAAGTTGTAGCAAATTTTGTTCTTAACAATATTGCTCTCTTGTATTTTTGCTCTCAGGTGCGTCAATATCGAGAAAAATACGAAAATCTAAAAATTTTATGAATTTTCTTGTTTTACTATTAGCTAATGGTAACATTTGGGAATCGGAACATGTTATTAAAAAACTTTTATAACAGAAGTTGTAGCAAATTTTGTTATTAACAATATTGCTCTCTTGTATTTTTGCTCTCAGATGCGTCAATATTCAGAAAAGTACGAAAATTTAAAAATTTTATGAATTTTCTTGTTTTGCTATTAGCTAATGGTAACATTTGGGAATCGGAGCATGTTCTCAAAAAACTTTTATAACAAAAGTTGTAGCAAATTTCATCCTTAACAATATTGTTCTCTTGTATTTTTGCTCTCAGATGCGTCAATATTGAGATAAATACGAAAATTTAAAAATTTGATGAATTTTCTTGTTTTACTATTAGCTAATGGTAACATTTGGGAATCGGAGCATGTTATCAAAAAACTTTTATAACAAAAGTTGTAGCAAATTTTGTTGTTAACAATATTGTTCTCTTGTATTTTTGCTCTCAGATCCGTCAATATCGAAATAAATACGAAAATTTGAAAATTTGATGAATTTTCTTGTTTTACTATTAGCTAATGGTAACATTCGGGAATCGAAGCATGTTACAAAAAAACTTTTAGAACAAAAGTTGTAGCAAAATTTATTCTTAACAATATTGTTCTCTTTCACTTTTGCTCTCAGATGCGTCAATATCAAGAAAACACAAAAATTCGAAAATTTAATGAATTTTAATACAGTAATTCTTGTTTTACTGAGGTTTGACTTATTCATTCATATATAAAAAACACTTCTTCTCAGTATCGACATGTTTTATTATTTATATAATTAAAAAGTTTCGAGCATTTATTGCTCATTATCAAGAATATGTGAAAACACAAAAATCCATACACATTTCAATAAACCAATATAAAGTACAGTTTTAACATCAAAGAAGAATGCAGACGCTTACTGAGGAAATTTCAAGTGGGTGCCGTCGGTGAGCGCATTTTACTAAAACCAATATTGAAATTTACAAATGCAAAATGAACATATTCTTGATAATGAGCAATAAATGCTCGAAACGTTGACGAAAAAATAATGTTTTTAATCATATAAATAATAAAACATTTTGATACTGAGAAGAAGTGTTTTTTATATATGAATTAATGAATTTTGTTGTTTTACTTGCTCTTAATGGTAACATTTGGGAATTGAAGCATGTTATAAAAAAACTTTTATAACAAAAGTTGTTGCAAATTTTATTCTTAACAATATTGTTCTGTTGTATTTTTGCTCTCAGATGCGTCAATATCGAGATAAATACGAAAATTTAAAAATTTGATGAATTTCCTTGTTTTACTTTAGCTAATGGTAATATTTAGGAATCGGAGAATGTTATAAAAAAACTTTTATAACAAAACTTGTAGCAAATTTTGTTCTTAACAATATTGCTCTCTTGTATTTTTGCTCTCAGATGCGTCAATATTGAGATAAATACAAAAATTTAAAAATTTTACGAATTTTCTTGTTTTACTATTAGCTAATGGTGATATGTGTTTGGGAATCGGAGTATGTTATTAAAAAACTTTTATAACAAAAGTTTTAGCAAATTTTATTCTTAACAATATTGTCCTCTTGTATTTTTGCTCTCAGATGCGTCAATATCGAGACAAATACGAAAATTTAAAAATTTGATGAATTTCCTAGTTTTACTATTAGCTAATGGTAACATTTGGAAATGGGAGCATGTTATCGAAAAATTTTTTAGAACAAAAGTTGTTGCAAATTTTGTTCTTTACAATATTGCCCTCTTGTATTTTTGCTCTCAGATGCGTCAATATTGAAAAAAATACGAAAATTTTAAAATTTTATGAATTTTCTTATTTTATTATTAGCTAGTGGTGACATTTGGGAATCGGAGCATGTTATCAAAAAACTTTTAGAACAAAAGTTGTTGCAAATTTTGTTCTTAACAATATTGTTCTCTTGTATTTTTGCTCTTAGATGCGTCAATATTGAGAAAAATGAGAAAATATGAAAATTTTATGAATTCGTTGTTTTACTAGTAATTAATGGTAGCACTCGGAAATCGGAGCATGTTACAAAAAAATTGTTAAAACAAAAGTTGTAGCAAATTTTATTCTTACCAATATTGCTCTCTTCTAGTCTTGCTCTCAGATGCGTCAATATTGAGAAAAATAAGAAAATGTGAAAATTTGATGAATTCGTTGTTTTACTAGTAATTAATATTGTTTTAAAAGTACAAACTTTTTCTGTTTGTACTTTTATTATAAAAATGGATTTATTGTTTTAAATTCTACCGGTTTCGGTTTATTCACAAAACCATCTTCAGGAACCTTCGAATCTCGTCAATTTATTTTAATGTCTCTTGTGATAATAAGCATG